AAAATTGATTTTTCTTTTATTTAATTGATTTTCAATTTCTTTTTTTTTTTCTTTTTGGATTCCTATTTTCAATGTATTAATATTTCATTGTCACCTCCAATTTACCGTTTAAAAAAATTTATACAAAATACGATATTCCAAAAACGACCAATTTTTAAAATATATAACGAAAATATTCGATACTTCTAACAAAATGGCGGAGAATCGGGATTAAAAATGGCGAAAAGGAGTGAGTAAAATGCATGATGCACAGTTCATAATATTTACGGGGTTGAATAAATAATATTTACCTTGCATTTTCCACGAATATTAACCCACGCTATATTTCAAAAATAGGAAATTTTTGCGAACGCATTTTATTTCCTACAAAATGGCGGTGGATCGAAACTAAACATTTAAAAGCAGGAAAACTGTATTATACACTGTTGAATTTATAATAGTTACAAAATTGGCTAAAAAATATTCAATTTTTCCAATATTTCTCCCTGCGAGTATTGGTTTTATGATAATAAGAGAGAGAGAGAGAGAGAAGAATTTTCAAGCTAGAGTCAATTTTTGTGTTTAAAAATAGTTTATCTAGAATTGTTGTCGATATTTAAATAATATTATCTAAATATATTAATTTGTCAATTGTTATGAAACGTGGAAAATCTTAGTATTCATTTATATTCACATTTATGTTACATTTGTTGGTTTAGAGACACGTGTAACTCAGAATTTATGTGTTTTTGAGGACAGTTTTGAAATTTTATTTTATTCAATTGTCATGAACCAGTATTTTCTGAAATTTGTTTTATTTAGTTGTTTTTCATATAGATTCTTACTCATTCCAAATTTATTAATTGCTGTGTCCATTTTTAAATTTTGAATGTATCCATATGTTCTATTTATTCTTTTAAAGACACGTGTGGCTTAGAATTTATGTATTTAGGGATATTTTTGAAATTATGTTTTATACAGTTGTCATGACTCTGTATTTACTGAAATTCGTTTTATATAGTTGTTTTTCATCTGTATTTGTACATCTCATTTCAAATCCATTAATTTTTAAGTTTTGAATGTATTTATATGTTTTATTTATTCTTTTAGAGACAAATGTGGCTTAGAATTTATATATTTGGGGATATTCTTGAAATTTTGTTTTATTCATATTGCCATCAATTAGTATTTCCAAACATTTATTTTCCTTATTTTACATCTCATTTTATTCATTTATTATATTACTATTATATTTTACTATTATTTCTTTGTCAATTTCTTTATTCTAATTCCTATTAAACTAATTTTTAAATTAATTCCTTAATTTCTTAATTTCCAAACGAAAACGAGAAATCTTGCTTTCTCTGATACACAAAAGGCTCCGAATTCTATGTACATACCTATACCTGTATCTACACTATAGATAATAAATGCAAATCTCAGGTATATAACTAAAAATATAAACAAAATTTGAAAAAGAATAAAATTTTTGGAGTTTCTCAAGTAAATTCCATTTTTCTGTCAGAGAAAAGGGAAAATTATAGGGAAAATAAATGCCAACGTTCGAAATCGAAGTCCAATGATGGAAACTGATCACGTCGATTCTAATTATAGAATTGCTGCAATCGAATGGACGTGATTCGAGAATTCTTACAAAGTGGCAACCAACGCTGCGTAATCGAACAGCAAGGAGTTCGTGGAAGGCGAGAGGGACACAATGAACGTAACGTTCGTGGCAGCTTGTTTGTAAGAATAAAAGGAAAGGTGCAGGGTACTCGAACTGAACGACTGAATGCGCCGAAAGATTGGAAAGATCGAAGATACGTGATCGGAAAACTCGAGTCCCGTTTCTCGTGCCTCGAAAACGAAATGCTCGCCGAGGGGAGCACAACGAGTAACTAGCAGTTGCTGCCGGCCGCCATCTTAACCGGAAACGGTGAATGAAAGCTAGCAACAATGGAATCGTCCGCGATGGATTCATCTCCCGTGAATTTTCGAGATCTTTGGAAATACGTGAGAAGAATCTAGGAAATGTGTTCTTATGAGAATGTTGGGGTTAGGGAATATTAGAAATATTTCTTAAATGATAAACAATCCTGAATAGAAGTAATAAGAGATAATAAATTATTTTGGAAATATATTATTAGGAAAAGGAATTTTTAATGTTTAAAAACGAATGTTTACATAAATAGTGGAATGGAAGAGTATATGGTAAGAGTTTTGTTGAAAATTAATTAATATGATTGATAAAGAAAATTTTGAAATTTTTTAACCTTTGTATATTTATTTCATTCACCATGAAAAATCGGATAAACATTCTTTTAGAAATTCTTCAAGTTTTGTGTATATTAAAACGTGTACAACAATTACAGCTTGGTGATTAATTAGTATAGCTTACAATCGTGAGATTTTATTATACTGCAAAGGGTTAAATAAATAAAAAGAAATATTGCCTGGAACTAGAGAGTAATATAATAGAAAATAGTAAAAATTACTAATTAATTTTGGAAATTAAATTAAGCCAAATAATTAATTACCAAAGTAATAATTATTTTACAGTTAAATGAATATAAATAAAAAGAAGAAAAATGAAAATAAATAAAAAGAAGAATTGCCAATCCACCAAAATAAAATTCCAACCATACTGCAAAGGGTTAAATAAATAAAAAGAAACATTGCCTGAAACTAGAGAGTAACAGAAAATAGAAAAAATTAGTAATTAATCTTAGAAATTAAATTAAGCCAAATAGTTAATTACCAAATAAATTATTATTTTGCAGTTAAATGAATAAAAATAAATAAAAGGAAGAATTGCCAATCCACCAAAATAAAATTCCAACCATACTGCAAAGGGTTAAATAAATAAAAAGAAACATTGCCTGAAACTAGAGAGTAATATAATAGAAAACAGTAAAAATTACTAATTAATCTTGGAAATTAAATTAATCCAAATAATTAATTACCAAAGTAATAATTATTTTACAGTTAAATGAATATAAATAAAAAGAAGAAAAATGAAAATAAATAAAAAGAAGAATTGCCAATCCACCAAAATAAAATTCCAACCATACTGCAAAGGGTTAAATAAATAAAAAGAAACATTGCCTGAAACTAGAGAGTAATATAATAGAAAATAGAAAAAATTACTAATTAATTTTAGAAATTAAATTAAGCCAAATAATTAATTACCAAAGTAATAATTATTTTGCAGTTAAATGAACAAAAGTAAATAAAAAGAAAAATCGTCAATCCACTGAATTAAAATTCCAATTAGAAGCCGACAGAAGATTCGTTCCTCGGGCAAATTCGATAATCGAAAGGCCCTCCGTGCCCGGAATCATCCCCTCGAAGATCAAAAACTGCTTTCACGGGAAGAACACCCCTTCAGCACAGCTCCAAACCCTGACTCAGATCTAATCTGCGAGTCTAATGCACCATGGCGCATCGCTGACAGATTCGCTGAAAGTATTCCTCGAGATAAGGATCCGCGACGAGATAGCAGAGGACCTTCTTCAGCGTTTAGCGTTAATTGCGAGCTCGGCCCGGCTCGACTCGATAAAATAATTACTCCGAGATATTTCGCCAATTAACGCCCTTTTTACGGGCCCTCGCGAGAATTCCACGCGATTCATCGCGCGAATAAATGAAATTGTTACCGGGCTAAATAGTTCTCCTGTTATGTGCAAAAGCAAAGGCTAATTTCCAATGTCTATTTCACTTTTTATTTCTTTCATGGAGGGTGGATGAGTGAGATAAATCAAATTCTTTTGTTGGGAGAATAATTAAAATAATTGTGCGAATTAGGGTAGTTGCAATTTATTTTTAAAATTTATTTTTCTTGTCAACCCTCTATGGGCCCCTGTAACTTTCGAGTTACATTGGTAATGTATGGATATTTTATTAAATACTGCATTCAACGTTATCGCCTTGATCACTATAGTTCGCGATTTTTCTTTCGATATATTTATAATTATTTTTGCAATACCTCCCGTGGGTCGATTTTTCAAAATTCTAATTCTTTTTCATTTACCGGTTATTCGATCGTGATTGGCTAGGTCCTCTATGCCCCCCTATGACCTATTTTCCACAAGATGGCGTGGAAAATTATCTTGTCTATCTATTGCACATTATCTTGGCACAGTAGTGCAAACGTTGTTAATTCAAACTTTCAATATGAATTCGTTAGAATAAAATTGTCAAAACTGCTGAATTTATTGGTTGATATTTGTTGATTTTATGTTACATAAAATTCTTGTAGTGAAGAAAAATATATATTCGGTCCATAAAGGGACTGATTGTATCTATTCGCATTGTTATTCAATATATCACTATATATATTCTGCAAATACTGCTACGTTTATTGTTAAATAATTTAATAACGATCGTTGTTGGGTAAAATACGTCGAACTTTAATTTTTTAATTAAATTTTAAATTGTTTAAAATACATCCATAATTAATTTTAATTTAAATTTGGAATTTTCTTCGACAAAATGGAATCACAAACTTCTTATATAATATTGTGATAGATCTTGATTAAAATGATACTAATTAAATCCTCTTACAGTGTTATATTATTTAAGTTATAATAAACAAAATTATCTATTTTTCCATTTCGATTAATGTTATTCCAAATTAATCACAAAAGAGATTCTTCCAAAAAGAAATCCCAAATCTTTGATAAATTAAATTTAAAAAAGGAAAAGAGGAAGTGATATTATATTTATCTCTAATACTCTTCAACCCCAATCAACATCAGATGCAAATAAAACGCAGAAGAGAACCCTTAAAAAATCCCGTAACCCTAAACTCACTATGACAAATCGTCACTGAAATAACTGCAATTAAATCTGCTAAAAAAAACAAAGAAAAAAAAAAAGAGGAAAAAATGGTTGCCATTGTGAAGTCACCCTTCGAACGTAACAAAGGGTAGGTAGGTGTGGACGTCGCATTATGAAAGATGGAAAATTACAGTGATTCGAAATTACGGGGACCTAAATGGTAGGCAGTGACGGCTACTTACGACGATTCTGTTGGGGGTGACGTCCAAGGGTCGTGCTCCGAGGACAGGGGTGGCCGGAGCGCTACCCCTTCGACAGGCCTTCTCGTAGGACGTGTCTGAAACATACAAAGAACATTTGCATTCAGCGACGGTGTAATTCGGCCGTTTCCGGTGCGAACGAAGAAAACGGTCGTGGTAATTATTGTATCTCGTTTCGTATTCGAGAATGAAAATTCGCAGCCACCAGAGGGTGCCAGCATCGAAAATCCATCCGGCGAATAATCGAGCTTCCTTTTGACGAGGTTAGGTCACGTTTGAATTAACGATTTCGCTCGATTTTTCCTATTTCCGTTTTTGGTGTACGAATTTTTCGAATTTTTGGAATTTTCGAAATGGAAATAAAAAATGACGATATTACTAATATAATATTATATCATAATTAGTATTTAATAGATACTCGAAATAATTTTCCTTGATTTTTCTTCTTTCCGTTTTTGGTGTACGAATTTTTGGAATTTTTGGAATTTTTGGAATTTTGGAAATTTTGGAAATGGAAATAAAATATGACAATATTAATATAATATTATATTATAATTAGTATTTAATAGATACTCGAAATAATTTTGCTTGATTTTTTCTCTTTCCGTTTTTGGTGTACGAATTTTTGGAATTTTTGGAATTTTGGAAATGGAAATAAAATATGACGATATTAATATAATATTATACTATACTACTGATAATATATTACATTATTAATATCACCCATATCATATTTCCTTTGATATTAAAAAATAATAAGAATTTTGACTATTTTATTTAATATTTATATGACATATTATAACTTTAATTATGTAAAATATTATTAAGTAAACAACGATTAATGTTAATATCTAAATTTTTTCGCAAAAGAGAGTGGCAGAATATTAGATGAAAATGAATTTACATTTTTCCCAAGTATTTAAATTATTAATAACATTCCAACAAAAATATTAAATTCGTGTAATTGATTATTAATGATTAATTGTTATTAATTTTTTCATTATTATTAGTTAGCAAAATTGCTTCAACCTATTACATATTTATTTTCACGTAATCAACCTATCAACTATAACTATAACTATACTCGACACACTGTTAGTACACTAACACACACACATACACACATAAACGGAAGAAAAAAGAAAAGTAAGAAAGTACAAGAAACCCATAAACCATAACCCATAACCCATTCACGATCTCATCTCATCTCATCTCATCTCATCTCATCTCATCTGGCGGGCCATTAACGCACCTGTAAACGATCCCCGTATCCGGAAGCCGCTGGACAGGCCCCGAAACGGCGCCATTGAGGAAGAGGAAAGGGAATGCGGAGATTCGTGGGCGCGATTAAAAGAGGGACTTCCGTTTCGAAGCAGGCCGGTCGTTCGCATACCTCGAACTCGGTCACCGGCATAGTTGGAGCAATGCTGGAACCTCGTAATTTCAAGAACGACAACGGGCCATTGTGCGGTCGCGGGGCCATTCAGGAGCCCCCTATAATGGCGGCGTTCCATCGAAAACGCGATGGAAACGCTCACAATGATCAGGGTGCACGCGCAGGTAGCCCGTTCTCACTAGGAATTCGTGAACAGTGGAATCGATTGTTACCACGGGTACTCGCAGTGTGATACCTGTTGTTACTGGCAGGGTGGATTCTATTTTTTGATCTTTGTTTGGTTAGACACGATCCGAGTACAGTAATATTATATTATAGTACAAATTAATTTGCAATTAAACCCATGTATCTATTATAATAATAAATTGGAACAAATTAAAAATATATCCATAATAATAACATGGAATAAATGAAAAATATATTTGCAATAATAACTTGGAATAAATTAAAAATATACTTATGACAGTATTATGAAATTTTATGAAATTATGTTTATTTAATCAATTAAATAAATTAAATAATATATAACAATATAAAATGAATTTAATTGATTTAACTTAGAATAAATTAAAAATATATATATATGATAGATACTTTATGAAATTACACTTCTTTAATTAATTAAATAAATTAAATAATATATAATATAAAATGAATTTAATTTGTTTTACTTAGAATAAATTAAAAATATATTTATGATAGACATTTTATGAAATTATGTTTCTTTAATTAATGAAACAAATTAAATAATATATAACAATATAGAATGAATTTAATTTATTTAACTTCGATTAAATTAAAAGTATATGTATGATAGATATTTTATGAAATTATACTTCTTTAATTAATTAAATAATTTAAATAACAACATGAACAGTATAGAATGAATTTAATTTATTTAACTTCGAATAAATTAAAAATAAATTTATGATAGATATTTTATGAAATTATACTTCTTTAATTAATTAAATGAATCAAATAATATATAATAATATAGAATGAATTTAATTTGTTAAATAAATATGGTCAATGAAACTTTGGTCTATGCTCAAATGACCAAGAATAATAAAATAAGAAAAATAACAATTTTTAATAAAACTATAGTTGATATGATAGATTGATAATTAAAAAATATGGTTGTCCTGTATCAATACTTAATTCTCCAATACAAAAAAATATCAATATTTGAAATAAAAAAATAATTCATTTAAATGACCATCAATAATAAAATAAACAAAATAATTATTTTCAACGAAACTGTGGTTTGACATATAATTTCAAAATATATTAAATCTCCATCAACGTTCAATTCACCAAGACAAAAAAGAAAATCAATTTCTGAAATAAATTAGTTTAAATAGAAAAATAATTCTTTTCAATCCTCAAACTATAAATTCATGCTACAAAGATTAATTCCCCCCTCGAAGCGAATTACATTAACATTCCATTTAACCCCCTACCAACCTCCAACTCCAAAAACCAAACCAAAAAACTCAATTCCTCTCTTAAATTGCGTCCCGTTCCGTTAAAAATCTTTCCCCCCCCCCCCAACCAATTCTTCTCCATCCCCAATAAATCCATCCCTGGGTCGAGATGAAACTTGTGCCAAAGTCTCACGTACACGAACACTACCCTCGAATCAACATCCAATTGGCCCAAACTCACTCGTGATCTTGACGAATCCCTCATTAAACTCGCTCGTGCAAGCGTTCAAGCCCGAAACCGTTCGAACAATAAGTGTCAAGGATTAAACGTTTCAAACCGAGCTGCAATTGCTCGATTAATTTAAAAGTCTCTCGGTAGAGTCGCCTTGTATACCTTGGCATGAGTTCCTTCCATTTAATCCGAGCTAACCACTCGACGGGAACTCGAACGGTGCTTGGAGGTACGCGTCCTCCATCCTGCCCCGTTCCCCGTCAACGGAAATCGACTGGCCGAGGAAGAAGGGGCGAAAGCAGCCCTGTAATTAACGCCCCTGCGAGAGGCCACGGGGTCTGGACCTCTCTCGTCTGTTTACGGCCAGCGGTTTAAACTCTCCATCCCGGCACAAGAGTCTCCAGTTACCTTAGGGGCCCCTTTCTTCCTCGGGTCCACGTCATGGACAACGGGTCCCGTGTGTTCCTTGCGGCTAACGATCCGATAGGGGGCCCTTTAACGCTGCGTCCATGTCGCTTCGCGTTAAACTGTTAACCGGGGGTGAGTTCACTCGCCATTCGGGAATTTTTTCTCCAAGAGGGTGAGGGGGGTAACTCGTCAGGGGGATACTCGAAGATTCTGAACTTACATTTATTAAGGAGTTCTTTGTTTTTATTATAGTTTTGTGTAATGGATTATTCGATTTTGTTAATTTATTAATCGGGGGTGGGTTCAATCGTCATTGGGGAATTTTTTCTCGAAAGGGGCGAGGGGGTAACTCGTCAGGGGGATACTCGAAGATTCTGATCTTAAATTTATTAATGAGTTCTTTGTTTTTATTATAGTTTTGTGTAATGGATTATTCGATTTTGTTAATTTATTAATCGGGGGTGAGTGCAATCGTCATTGGGGAATTTTTTCTCGAAAGGGGTGAGTTTGTTTGCTATTGGAGAATTTTTTCTCGAAAGGGACGAGGGGGTAACTCGTCAGGGGGATACTCGAAGATTCTGAACTTAAATTTATTAACGAGTTCTTTGTTTTTAGTATAGTTTTGTGCAATGGATTATTCGATTTTGTTAATTTATTAATCGGGGGTGGGTTCAATTGTCAATGGGGAATTTTTTCTCGAAAGAGGTGAGTGCAATCGTCATTAGGGAATTTTTTCTCGAAAGGGATGAGTTCACTCGACATTGAGGAATTTTTTCTCGAAAGGGGTGAGTTCGTTTGTTATTGGAGAATTTTTTCTCGAAAGGGGTGAGTTCACTCGACATTGAGGAATGTTTTCTCGAAAGGGGTGAGTTTGTTCGTTATTGGGGAATTTTTTCTCGAAAGTGGTGAGGTCACTCGTCATTGAGGAATTTTTTCTCCAAAGGGGTAAGGGGGTAACTCGTCAGGGATACTCGAAGATTTTAAAATTAAATTTATTACCGAATTCTTTGATTTTATTACATTTAGGTTTAACGAATTATTCATTTTTGATAACCTATTAATTGGGGGTGAGTTCATTCACTACTGAGAAATATTTCCTCAAAGGGTGTGAAGAAATAACTCGTCAGGGATACTCGAAAATTCTGAACTTAAATTAAGTAACGAATTCTATGTTTTTATTATATTTTGGTGTAACAAATTATTTGATTTTGTTAATTTATTAATTAGGTGTGAGCCAATCGCCATTGGGGAATTTTTTCTCGAAAGGGGATGAGGGGATAACTCGTCAGGGATATTAGAAGATTCTGAATTTAAATTTAATAATGAATTCTTTATTTTTATTATATTTTTGTGTAATGAATTATTCGATTTTGTTAATTTATTAATTAGTGGTGACCCATTCGCCATTTTGAAATGTTTCTTAGAAGGGTATGAGGGGGTAACTTATCAGGAATACTTGAAAGTACCGAATTTTGAATTGCTTGAATTTGTTTGAATTGTTTCTTACTGCTATTTTATTGAATTTAGATTTAAGAAATTATTTGCTGTGGCTTCCATTTTATTATTATTCCTGTGTCTATTAAATACCTATTTAATGAATTATTTATCTTTTGTTAT